ACTATGTTTCAAACTGCCCTCTCAGAGACCTGCAGCGGCAGGCGGGGAACGTTGGAGTCCGCCATCACTGAAGCAAGCAAGCCTCACGTTCAGTTAAGCTGCCTGGCTGCCAGTTGCCATCTTGGCCTTCAGTTAATTTGCATATCTTGCTGATTAGCCAATGGGAAGGGTAGCGGTCGTACGCCAATTACCATATTTCTCTTTTATTAGTATAGATACCTTATATTAACTTATGTTGTGATACATTATATTATTTAGCTGAATTATATACCTGGGGCAGAAATGGGTATGGTACACAAAAGTGCTACAGTATAGAACAGAAATGTTGCTTACAGTTAAGTGTGGCCAAGTATCTGAATTCTGGCCAATGAAATATGTGCAAGCAGTGTCCTATGTCAGGAGTATTACAGGACTGGCTCAAAAATTTCCTACATTTATTTCTCCATGCTCTTGCCCTTTTCTGACTGTCTGGCTGGAATGGAAATAATTCCCAGAATAAACCTTAGATATCCACTTTGTATAAGATGGCAAAGTCTCAATCAATTAGGGTTCTTGAATAAATGTGTGAACAGAATCCCTTTCCCACTTCTAACCATAAAGAGAAATACTTTTGACTATTACCTGATTAATAAATGTTGACTGTGTTTGAATTTACACTTTTCTTTCAACAGTTAGCCTACCCTAATACAACTGTTATGTCATGGCTCCCCACTGATAGACAGCTTCTACTTTTCTGCCAGATTTACAGTATATTTAAATGTACTTTCTGTAATTAAAAGCTCAAAGATATACCTTCTTGTGCTGGGAAATTTATCCTAAAGAAACACAATTTAAGGCAGTCGGTGCTTATGTACAAGTTTTTATATAAAGACTGTTAAGCATTATTACTGGCTAAAAAGAAAATATTTTATCTTTAAATTTTATTATTTTAAAAGCTATTCTGAATTTCATGTTTGACCCTGTTTTAAATTTGTTTCCAAAGGATTTACTTAAATTTTAGAAAGATGGCAATGAAGAAATGTAATTTTATAATAAAAAGGTGAATTTAAAAATATATATAAATATCACTTCAGCTATATTATCTCTTTATTCTATTACTATTTCTGCGGACTTAATCTATGTCAGATATTATAGAAATGTGCAAACAAAAACAATAAAAGCTGCCCTCTAAGAGCTCCCAGAGGAAAAGAAATAGATTATCACAATATTCAATTCTAAGTGTATGACTTAGATATGCACAGGATATAACGGGAATAGACAGGAAGGGTCTTAAAGCAGACTTCGGGCCAAATGAGAAGAAAAGGTTTCCTGGAAGAGGTGACTCCTAAAGACAGTAAGAGTGGGAAAGTAAAGAAGTGGTGCCCGGCTGGCGTGGCTCAGTGGTTGAGTGTCGACCTATGAATCAGGAGATCATGGTTGGATTCCCAGTTAGGGCATATGCCCAGGTTGCAGGCTCTATCCCCGGAGGGTGGGGGGGATGGGTGTGTGTGCAGGAGGAAGCACCCCCCTCACTGTCATCATTGATCTCTCTCTCCCTCTCCCTTCCTCTCTGAAATAAAAAGATATTCTATCTAATAAATAAGAAACATGGTAATTAGCAATACGTCTGCTACCCTTCCCATTGGCTAATCAGGGCGATATGCAAATTAACTACCAGCCAAGATGGCGGCCAGCAGCCAGGCAGCTTGAAGCAAACATGAGGCTTGCTTGCTTCAGTGACGGAGTACTCCAACATTCCCAGCCTGCCTTGCCGGCCTCTGAGCTTGCAGTTTGAAACATTGTTACAAATATAG